TATAATATAAAAATTGCAGTCAGAAATTGTGACGATGTCACAATAAATAATTGCTCGTTAATTATAGAAAGTTTATGCAAAGCATCATAACTTTCATAGTTTAAAAATAAACCTTATTTTCATTTGAAATATTTTGAAGCTTATTACTTTTTGTAATTATATAACACAATATTCAATTATCGTAGGTGAAGTCTTGGTGACAAAGTGTCCCTGTATGCATCCCGGTGACATTCGTAAGTTTCAAGCAGTAGATATCCCGGAATTAAGTCACATTAAAGATTGCATTGTCTTCCCGGCCAAGGGAAAACGTCCTCATCCCGATGAAATGGCTGGTAATGCTGTTTTCATTTTTATGGGAAATTTTCTATCATAATAGAAAATAGTATAGATGGAATATTGTTTCTAAGGGTCCGATCTAGATGGCGACGAGTACTGTGTTATCTGGATGGAAGATTTAATTTTTAAATGCGAAAATTATAAACCAGGAGACTATCCGCATTTAAAAGAAAAAGAACTAGATCGTGAAATAAATGTATGTTTTATTTATATTATTTTATCTAATTTACTTATGCATCCGCTTCAATTACGTATTAATTATCAAATTTAATGTAATCTTCATTTAGTCTCTATACATACAGTACGTAAGTGTTGTGATACTGGCTTCTTCATAATCCATCAAGTGTGTCACAAGCTGAAAAATATTAAGAACCACTAACCAAGTAAATAAAAACTAATACACTACATTCTTGTTAATCCGGCAATTTCTCGCACCGACAGTGCCAGATTTGTGAAAGTGCCGGATTATTGGGAGTGTAATGAATGATGTGACCTGTTGGCTTTTATTACTGAACCTATTGGAAACAGGAGAGTAAATAATATGGTGCACTAACATGCAATATTACAAACACAGAACCATAAAGAGATTCTGTGTTGCCAGGGAGTGCAGCAGGTCCCAGTTTTCATTTTTTAACAAATGAAATAAGTACAATGTTTATAAGCAGTCTTAAAGACTTTATTTTCTGTTAGTAAAAATTCACAGGGATAGAAAGAACTATAGGTCCCTAAGATTTTTTCTGGACCCGAAAACAATTCACATTTTCATCTCCTCTTCACGGGCCTAATTGTACACAGAAATGAACTCCAAGCAAACAGGAAAACAGATGAGTGACTTGACATAAATTTTTATTCAAACGTATATGTCGGTTAATTGAGAGACAAGATTAATAAGAGCGCTTTATTTGAAAAATATACTTTTTTTTTATTATCTTACTATAAATATAAGTTGAATATATTAAAGAATATTTAATTGTATCTATCTTTTTCCATTGTTTAAAGGCTGAAGACATGGTGGATTTCTTTTTGAAATTTATAAGAGAATCAAAAATTGGAATAATTGCAAATGCACATCTTGCATGGACAGACGTAGAATACGATGGGATATTTAGTGAGAAGTGCATAAAAATTGCCGAAAAGCATGCCAGGAGTTTGGATTTTGGGAAAACTGGAATCAACGAAACACTGAGTTCGGACGAAGTCGTGTATGTTTATCCAGATTACTTTGATAAGAAACTCGAAAAAGATACGTACCGATCGACTAAAATTCTGGGTCAACTGTATCGTTTAAGCAAAGTCGTACAACTAGGATTTAAGGAATTTATCGAATCTGAAGAGGATAAAACAGCATACATCCATTACATATTGGATCCCGATTTGGTGTATCCAGAGAACGAACTTTACATCAAGTCAGCAAAAAAAGCGTACAAAAAATATAAAAACGAAGTAGAACGTATGTTAACTCAATACGGAATCCAAACGGAAGCAGAGTTGTTCTCTGGATCCATTTTTAAAATGCACAAATACATGTCAAACAACATGGATTTGAATGACATGCAACTTATCAAGCACAGAGTAGAAATGTTAATTAGAAAAATGCGAGAGGATTTCGTTGAGGAATTTGTCGACAAATTTGACTCAGGTAGAGATAATTTTGAAACTATACTTGATGATCTTTATGGATCAGAGCAAAAAGAAAAGGTTTTCCAGAAAGCATCAGCTTGGTATAAAATAACTTATGATGAGACCCAAAGAGATGGTTCATCAGGAAACAGTGGAAGATTCTATTACGGATTGCCATGGACTATAAGTGATGTGTTATGTACAATGAAAGGCGAGATCGAGAAGAATGCGAGAAACATTTCTAGAAAAACACAATTTCAGGAACGTTTAACACTATCCCTCACTCAAGCTTTTCCGAACGTTTTCGAAAATATAACATACCAACGTTCTGACGTAGAAAAAATCATCTTTAACATAATGCATCAGTGGATAAATAACAATGTAATACAAGGTAACCAGTGCTTCGATCTTGAGAGCATAGATGCCGTAATAATAGAATTTCTTAGTTACGTGTTTGAAGAAATAACAGAATCAAGAGATGGTGAAGAACAAAACATTTCAATCAGTGAAATCTTAATGGTCTTTCTGGAAAAGCTGTCATGTAAGATGCTTGAGAAGCAATCCTTTAATAGCGGAACATTCGTAGTGCCTTATATATTGAATAATCAATTTTTGGGGCAGTTAAGCTTTAAAATATTCCTCAATTTGGTTTGTTCTCGTAACACGGATTGTTTTCAAGCCGTGCATGCTGATTTACAACTCGAAGTAGAAGATGTAGAGGCTACTTTTCGATTGCAATTGGTCGATGATGAATTAGCCGCAAGATTCTGTCGACAGGAATTTGAAGTGAAAGAATTGTTGTTGAACTGGACGAAAGTAAAAGAAATTTCATACAGGCCAGAACTAGTACGTGGCAAAAAATGGGTTGCAATGATAACAGTCAAAGGTAACAGGTATGCCGTTAATCACTTTCAAGACATAATAATACATGAAGATTTTAATGATATGATTATTGAAAGTATAGAAGCTGACTGAAGGTTTTCACTTATACATAACTTTTTGAAGATGGAAAAGCTAAATATGAAATAAATAATTGTAATCAACTTAAAAATTTTACGAATCTATTGTTATATCTTTAATACAATCGGATTTTTTATGTTATTTTGTTCACGTATACCAAAGAGTAGAATTTATTCCTTCTGTAATTTTGTTGTAAATGAATTAAATTCTTCAATTTCATATTGCAAATTGTTCTTTTTAATTCAAACACAAACAAATTATTTATTACAAATTATTATACTTGGCAAATCACAGAATTAAATTTTATTCAGTTGAGGTAGCAGAGAGTGGATTTATTGTATTGTGTTTTATACAGACGTCAGATAGTTTAATAAGTACAGTCTACCCACTTATAACGCGGTAGATACGTTCCGTTCTTAATGAAATTCATGTTTTACGAGTCCTTAAATACATGAGCCAATCACAGCCCGGCACGTATACACTTTACGGACTACGGCTGTTTGAAAGGTTTTCTTCCATAAAATTAATCGATTCTAGACTAATTCGACTCAACATTTCCAAAATACGTATAATTTTTTGAAAATAATCTATATAAACTATGCTATAAACAAAAAATTGTAGGATTACTTACCGAGTGTGTA